AGGGAGGTGGGAGGGGGGACCGGGATGGGGAATACATGTAAATCCATGGCTAATTCATTTCAATGTATGACAAAAACCACTGCAATGTTGTAAAGTAATTAGCCTCCAACTAATAAAAATAAATGAAAAAAAAAGTCTCAATAAATTTAAAAGAATTCAAGTCATTGAAAGTATAAACTTTGACCACAATGGAATTAAATTAGCAGCATCAATAACAGACAGATGCCTGGAAAACTACAGATGTTTAAAAACTAAATAACACATGAGTCAAAGACAAAATAAAAGGGAAATTAGAAAGTATCTTGATCTAAATGAAAACACAACGTTAAAATTTGTAACATGCTGCTTAAGCTGGTAGATATTTATAGCATTAAATGCTTATTTAGGAAAGAAGAAATGATTTAGATGAAGGACCTTAGTTTCACCCAAAAGTTAGAAAAAAGGAGCAAATTAAATCAAAACAAAATAAAAGAAAGGAAACCACAAATTTATGAGTGAAAATCAATAGAGTAGAAAACCAAAATCAATAGAGAAAATCAGTGAGAATAAAATCTTCTCAAAGAGCATTAAAATTGATATACCTCTAGTCCTACTAAAAAGGGAAAGAAGGAGGATGAGAGAGAGAGAGAGAGCCACAAACAGAAATTAGGAATGAGAGAAGTGACAGCAGTACAGATTTTACAGAGACTAAAAGGATAATCATATATTAAAAGATCATACCAGTCAATCCTAAAGGAAATTAACTCTGAGTATTCATTGGAAGGACTGATGCTGAAGCTAAAGTTCCAGCACTTTGGCCACCTGATATGAAGAGCTGATTCACTGGAAAAGACCCTAAGCTGGGAAAGATTGAAGGCAGGAGGAAAAGGGATGACAGAGGTTGGATGGTGTCACCAACTCAATGGATATGAGTTTGAGCAAAGTCCAAGAGATAGTGAAGGACAGGGAAGCCTGGTGTGCTGCAGTCCACGGTATCGCAAGGAGTTGGACACCACAGTGACTGAAACAAAAGGATAATAAGGCATTATTATGAACAATTTTCATGGCTATGTATATTTGACAACACAAGCACATTTTTTGAAAATACAAACTACGAAAGCTACCTCAAGAAGAGATAAACTTGACAGTCCTATTCTATTTAAAACATTTCATTTATATTAAAAACCTTCCCTCAAAGAAAACTCCTAGCCCAGATAGCTTCACTAGTGAGTTCTATCATATTTAGTTCAGTTCAGTTCAGTCGCTCAATCGTGTCCGACTCTTTGCAACCCCATGGACTGCAGCATGCCAGGCCTCCCTGTCCATCACCAACTCCTGGAGTTTACTCAAACTCATGTCCATTGAGTCAGTGATGTCAGCCAACCATTTCATCCTCTGTCATCCCCTTCTCCTCATACCCTCAATCTTTCCCAGAATCAGGGTCTTTTCAAGTGAGTCAGCTCTTTGCATCAGGTGGCCAAAGTATTGGAGTTTCAGCTTCAACATTAGTCCTTCCAGTGAACACCCAGAACTGATCTCTTTTAGGATGGACTGTTTGGATCTCCTTGCAGTCCAAGGGACTCTCAAGAGTCTTCTTCAACACCACAGTTCAAAAGCATCAATTCTATCATATATTTAAATATAATACAAAAATCATGATCGATAAAAGGACAAATTGATAAACTGGAGTTCATAAAAACTAAGAACTCTTAAAAGGAGTTCAAAGACACTTGTGAAGGAAGAAAAGACAAGCCACAGAGTAGGAGAAAATCTTTGCAAAGCATACATCTGATAAAAGGTTGTAGCCAGAATATATAAACTCAGTCATGAGAAATACAGTTTAAAAATAGGAGTTGAACAGATCTTCATCAACAGAGATGCACAAGAAAGATGTTCAACATCATTATACATTAGGGAAATGCAAATTATAACCACAATGAGATATTACTTTTTAGAATGACTAAAATTGAAGAGGCTGACCATACCAAATATTGGCAAGGATGTGGGGGAAATGTCATTCTCCTACATTGATGATGAAAATATAAAATGGTAAATCACTTTGGAAAACTTTAAGGCAGTGTCTTTAAAAGTTAAACAATCACTTGCCATATGATCCAGTCATTTTATTCTTAGTATTTTCCCAAGAGAAATGAAAGCATATGTCCACACCAAACTGTGAACAACCCAAATGTCTGTCAATAAGTGAGTGGAGTAACACACTATGGTTTATCCATACAGTAGATAGAAAAGAAATGACTACTGATATGTGCAACAACATGAATGACTCTCAAATAATCACAATGAATAAAAGAAGCCAGGCAAACAAGGGTATGTACTGCATGTTTGTGTATAAATTTCTAGAAAGTGCAAACTAAACTGTAGTGATGGGAGGCAGAGGTGGGAGACAGATAAGCAGTTGCCTGGGGAAGGGGAGGAATGGAAAGGATGCAAGGAAACTTTTATGAATGTTAGGTTCATTCTTCATTTTGATTATCTTTGTGATAAGTTCACAAGTATGAAACATGTCCAATGCCCACAAAACGTGTCAAATTGCACACCTTAAACACATACAGTTTGCTTTATGTCAGTTGTACCTCAATAAAGCTATTAAAATTCTGTGAAGATGAAGCTTCTGTGTGTTATGAGAAGGGGAGAGCTAACGGAGAAGAGGCAGTGGAGAAGGTGAGGACTCAGAAAGTCTCGTGGTTCTTATACCAGCTGGGGCAAGTCTGGGAAAGTGAAACAGCAGAGAGGAAACTGGAGCCTGGAATATGGCCCTGTGCCTCTCACCCCTTCTCACTCCCTTTTTCTTGACTCTCCTTCTGTGTTATCACACAGACTTTGGGAAATGTCCGGGGTGCTTTGTCTCTGCCTTGTCTGAAGAGCTGGGCTAGTCCCTTCCCCACAGCTCTGGGATTCCGTCCCATGCATTTTCTATCTGCACGCTCTGGTTTTCATGACCCCTGTCAAGGGGTTCTCTTTTGGAAGTCTGCTAGAAATCACTATTTTCCACAAATATTTTGAATATATTTTACTCTGGTTAGCCTAGATATATGATTTCCTAACCTAGTGCCTAATACCTAAAGGACACTCAAAGTATTTATGAAATGCGTTACTAAGAATTATGACTCATACTTTACTCAAGGAAACCTCCTCTTGGGGCTGACCATTCTGGGGGACCCAAGGTGTAATGAACAGAATCTAGATCTCAGTAGGGCCTGGGGCCGAGACCCAGATGGGCAGGGGACAGAACGAGCCCGCTGAGAGCCACACATCTTGTCTGGTTGATCAAAGGGTTCTGGGCTCCGAGTCTGAGCTGTACCTGGAAGCCCCCAAACTCAGGAGCTAAATCAGCCTGATCCTGACTTAGAGGAGACATGGATATGATAGTAGTAGCCAATAGTTATTAAATCTTTGCATTGTGCCAGGTATTTATAGGTATTATCTCACACAAAGTCATGAGATGGGCCCTAGGATTAGTCTCATTTTTGGAGCCCCACTGACTTACGGATGTTTGATTTGTCTAGTTGCACAGGGCCCAAAGCTTAGAAGGGCCTCATGCTTGCCTTAATGCTCTACTATTGCTGTTTTAAAATTCTTAATATCTTTGGAACAAAGGATCTGCGGTTTCATTTTGCACAGGGCTGGGCAAATTATGTAACCGGTCCTGGGCTGAGCCTCACTATTTTTATATTAATATTTAATAACTCATAGCACCCCTAGAGAAAGATCGCAAAGAGCGGTTCTTTGTAGATGGGCATACAAGTGTGTGAGCCAAAACATAGTGTTGTGAGCCCAGAGCCTGCGAGTTTGGCTTCCCTGTGCTGCCCTACAAGTTCTGCTTCTCCAGACACTTGGTCTGAGTCCTGCGGGGATCAGAGATATTCTCAGCTTCTCCCTCCCACTCCATCTGGTAGGGGTCAGGCCCCTCCTGGCACCTGTCTCTGGGGTCAGCCAGGGGTGTATGCTCTTCTGTTTCAGATCCTACTCACCAGAGAGGACAAGGAGCAGTGCCAGCAGCCAGGAGCAGGGAGGTGAGTGAGCCAGGCAGGTCAGGGTGGGCATCAGAGGGGGCACAGGGCACCTCCTGTGGTCACCTAGACTGGCCACCATTCTACTCTCTGATGGGTGTTGGAGTCTCTGATGGGGTCCGTATACAAGGCCTTTTCTGCTTCTCATGGCCAGGACTACTTGGGGAAGTATTTTCGCTACAGCAAAACAAAGCTGCTGGTGCAAGAGGAAGAAGGGGAATGGAGGAGTTTCCGGCTTTCACATCTGAGCAGTAGTTCCTGTATTCACTCTGTCAAAACCTTAATGACCTTTTCCAGACCCTGTCCTTGCCATCCTGGGAGGCAGATGAACACGGCTGTCATGGTGTGGCCTCAAGTCAGCCTGACTCTGGATCAAGAGTTGAGTCTGCCTCTAGAGAAGAAGAAATGTCGTATGACATGCCTTACATGTGGAATCTTGAAAGAAATGACACAGATGAACTTGCAAAACAGAGAGACACAGATTTAGAGAAGAAACTTATGGCAGCTGGGGAGAAGGGATAGTTAGGGAGTTTGGAATGGACATGTACACATTGCTATATTTAAAACTGATAACCAGCAAGGTCTTACTATACAGCACAGGGAATTCTGTTCAGTGTCATGTAGCAGTCTGGATGGAAGGGTAGTTTGGGGGAGAATGGATACATGTATATGTATGGCTGAGTCCCTTCTCTGTTCAACTGAAACTACCACAACACTGTTAGTTGACTCTACCACAATATAAAATAAAAAGTCTAAAATAAAAATTGAGAATTGGGTCTCCCTGTTCCTGGTTGTGTGACCTTTCAAAGTCACTTGTCATCTTCAAGGCTTTGTTGCCTCATCTGTAAAATAGGGACAGGATCAATTTCTTCCTAAGTGCAGGAATGATATGACATATATGCATGAGGGCCTAGCATAATATAAAGGGCAAACATATTACCCATCATTATTCATGATATGTAGGAAATGAGGAAGTAACATTTGCTTAAGAAGGAATGATTATAAATAAAGACCCCTAGTGGCCTCCTTTTGGCATTGGAGGGTGGGCACAGACTCACTTCCTAATTGTATAATAGTGGGCAACACTCTAAAGCTCCATTTTCTGGGGTCCAAATGTAACATACTCAGATGGTGCAAAAATTTGTGTTTGTGGCATCTTAATTTTCTGTAACTGATCTAAACTTTCTCAAGAACCACCCCCTCCTCCATCATGCCAGTTATTAGGAAGGAAAAATTAAGTTTGCTAACTAATCCCAGGCTTTTCCATATTCTGATAGCCTCTTTAGCTGTACTGTCTGGATTTAGATCGTGGCTTTACCCAGATCTGGCTGTGTGACTCTAGGACAATCATTGGACACTCCTGATCTGTAAAATTAAAATAAAAATATTGTTGCATTTATGGTGTAGAGTAAGCACTGATATGCTGCCATCATTATCTCTTAGGTTAACTCAGTCTTTTTTTAGGAAAAAAAACTCAAGTTTTCAGTGCTTCCCTTCTTCTTTCCTTCTACAGATGGTCCTGGGTGCAGAGGAAGCTGAAGTGTCTTTCTGGATGGAATGGTGGGGCTTGGGTCTGAGCACTGTCCTGGGGTCTGAGTCTGTTTCAGAGGTGGTATGACCTGCTCCTTGAGCACTTTTCACCTGGGGTCTGTTGAGGTGTGGCTGGTCCTACGTGGCCTTTAGTACCTTTCATGGCACCATCGGTAAATCCCATTACTGCCTCTACATGTTCTCCTGTTGAGGACCCTGATATATTGAAACCTCTTTGAATAGACCACAGGCCTGGAAAATTCCACAAGACTCTCAGGACCTCCATGTCATCTTCATGAATTAGCCACTTATCTATGTGATTTCCTTTCTCAGCTATTTCTTAAGTTTTATTTTAAATTAAATTTTTTTTTTTATTTTAGTAGGGAAGGCATTGTATTGTTTAGCTACTGCTGGGTAACAAACCACACCAAAACTGCTGTGGTTTAAAACAATAACCGTTTATTTAATTTGTGATTCTGTGGGTTGATAATTTCGTCTGGGCTCAGCTCCATACTTCTTTACATCTCAGCTGATTTTTTTTCTTCTTTTTTAAATTATGAAAGTATGATAACACATTTACAGGAGACTTGGAAAATACAGAACAAGGTTACATATAGTTCAATCATTACAATTGTAATATATTATAATTATTTTTATATAATACAATTGTTTTTTTAAGTAGATAAATTAAGATTTTTAGTTGGAGTTTCAATATCAAACTCTCAAAATTAATAGAATGAATATACAGAGAGGTAGAAGGATATAGTAGACCTGAAGAGCACTATAAACCAATTTAACGTAATTAAGATTTATGTAATTTTCACAAAACAGTAGGATACAAATTCTACTCAAATTCCCATAGACTATAAACTAGAAGACACTGGAACATACCCAGGGATGTAAAATAAGGTGCAAAAATTTCATGGTTCAAAGGTATTGAAATCATAAAGAGTCTGTACTCTTATCACTGGGGAATTATGTTAGATATCAACATCAAAAGATATTTGAAAATAACCCACATATTTTCAAGGGCAATGTGACATTTACCAAGAGAGATTTGATTTAGCCATTAAAAGCCTCAGTAAAGTTAGAAGACTGAAAAAACACAGAGTGATTGCAAGGAAGAAAGCATTTAAATGAGAAATTAATATCAAAGATACTTTTAAAAAATTCCATATATTTGATAATTAAATGTATGCTTTTAAATGATGGATATATCTAAGAAGCCATAACAAGGAAAATTAGAAAATAATTTTATGTGTGAGTCGAGACACAATCTGGGTTTCTTTAGAGTCAGTTTCTGGAGCTTCCATTTTTTTTCATTTGAAGAGGCCATGTTTTCCTAGTATGCTTTCTGGTCTTTGGTTGAAATTTGGACATTTGAACACACCATTTTTATGTCTTCCCAAATTCATATTTAAAATCCCATGCCCTGAATGTCATAGAATTAGTAGGAGGAGGCTTCAGGAGATACTTAGCTCATGAAAGTGGAATCATGATAAATGGTAGTAAGGCCTTATAAAACAGGCCACACAGAGCTCCCTAGCTGCTTCTGCCATATGAGGATACAATGAGAGTTTTTTGATCTAGAAGAGAGCCCTCACCTGACCATGCTGGTGCAATGATCTTGGATTTCCAGCCTCCAGAGCTATGAGAAATAAATTTCTATTATTTATGAACTTCTCAGTATATGCTGTTTTGGTACAGTAGCCTGAATGAACTAAAACAACCATCTCTTTATGGACTGGCTTTGTGCCGGGGAATGCCTTCTTCAATCAACCTGGCTAGATTCTGGGGCCTTTCAAGTCTTTTCTGGGTATATATCTTCTCTAGGCTGAGAGCCTCTTGATGAAGGTGAAAGAGGAAAGTGAAAAAGCTGGTTTAAAACTCAACATTCAAAAAACAAAAATCATGGCATCTGGTCCCATCACTTCATGGCAAATAGATGGGAAAACAATTGAAATAGTGACAGACTTTATTTTCTTGGGTTCCAAAATCACTGCAGATGGTGACTGCAGCCACAAAATTAAAAGACACTTGCTCCTTGGAAGAAAAGCTATGGTCAACCTAGATGGCATATTAAAATGCAGAGACATTACTTTGCCGACAAAGATCCATTTAGTCAAAGCTATCGTTTTTCCAGTAGTTATGTAAGGATGTGAGAGTTGGACCATAAAGAAAGCTGAGCACCAAAGAATTGATGCTTTTGAACTGTGGTGTTGGAGAAGACTCTTGAGAGTCCCTTGGACTGCAAGGAGATCCAACCAGTCCATCCTAAAGGAGATCAGTCCTGGGTGTTCATTGGAAGGACTGATGCTGAAGCTGAAACTCCAGTACTTTGGCCATCTGATGCAAAAAGCCGACTCATTAGGATAGACTGACGCTGGGAAAAATTGAAGGTAGGAGGCGAAGGGGACGACAGAGGACAAGATGGTTGGATGGCATCACTCAATGGACATGAGTTTGAGCAAGCTCCAGGAGATGGTGAACAACAGGGAAGCCTGGCGCACTGCAGTCCATAGGGTCTCAAAGAGTCAGACATGACTGAGTGACTGAGCAACAGGCTGTGTTTATGCTTAGCTGCCTCAAATTCCCCATATAGCTTGCCTGTTTCTTAGGAGTTCTCAATCTCTTATACCCCTTTGTGTCTTCCTGTGGAACTGCCTAATATCTGAAGCTCTAATGAAACCTCTTCAGTGGCTTCTGTTTTCTGCACTTCTAAACTGTGCTGCTGTTCCTGTTAGACTTCTGAGTCAGATGACACCGAAACTAATCCCAAAGTCAGCCCCAAGACAAGTCACAGTGTTGGGTGAATGGCCCAGTGTTTCCAAGGGCGGAGCAGGCGTGTAAGGTTTCCTCCCAGTTGTGCTACTACACCAGGTTGAAGGAGGAGTGAGAGTGTGAAAAACGCTGCTCCCTCCTACAGCTTTCACTGGAATCCCTTCCCGTGACTGGAGGACAAAGGCTGGGGACCTTCCTAGTCTGCTAATGTCACTCCTTTAAATAATTAATTTTTTTTTTTTTTTTTGCCAATTGCACTGGCAAGTAGGTTTGTGGAACTCCTCACACTGTCACGCCATTTGCATAAGTCTATTCCGTTTTAAACCCTAAAATTGCGACAATTAGTTATAGCAAATGTATACTTAGCTCAGTATTTTACAACTGTATGCGTACTTTTCATTTATCATGTCTAAATGGTACCTATTTGTACTTTAATAGGGAAATTGAACCCATTCACGAGAATTTCCCTCTCAATCGCCCTCATGCACACCTCCACCTCCATCTAACTGGGGTCTTCTTATTAGGAAGAAGGCAAAGCCATAAACCCAAAGGATTATGGGAGTGAGAGAACTGCCTGTGTACCTTCCGGCAAGCCCAGCCTCTGGGTCTGAATGTTCTCCTACATTAAAGGAAGAATTCAGACCTTGAGGCAGACACATATTGCTTTTCAGTATGTTAAGCACTTGTTTCAATGGGTTGATGACTTTTCTACCTGACACCCCCTCTCCTTTGCAAATATGAGCAAGTAAAAGGCACAGGAAAGGCGAATTTGCGTGATTCACTGGGACTCATTTGTGGAGTCTGGGGAAAAAGGGGCTCTCTTCCCGTGCTGGTTGCTAAGATAAGGGAAGGAATGTCAACATTTCCTTTATTGGATTGGTAAGGCCTACATACAAGCAAGAAAGACAAATCTAGGAGGAGACAGAGCTGAAAGAATTTCAGAGAGTAAGAGCCTTGGAGGCCGTGAGCCCAAATCCAGACTTTTTGTTCTTGATTCGTGCCTTGAACACGTGAGGAAGCTAGAACTCTCCTCAGGTATAGGATCACGCAACGCCTTTCTTTTCTTTGAAGGTGGGGAGGGTCATTAAACTAATGTATTAAGTTCCTCCTCCTTGTAAGAAAAGGTTCTCCACTAATATAAAGCATACTGAAGAGAGCCCAGACCAATCTCACCTCTATTCCCTATTGTCTGTACTCCTGAATCTCCTAGAGTTTCAGTTTACTCATCTGTGCATTGAGGATAAGCATTGTCATGCTCAAGTTGCTATGCAAGTAACTATAATAATATAGGGAAAGTGTTTGAGATATAGTAGATGCCCAATAAACAGTAATGTTTTCATATCACCAATTTAATCATTCCTCGGGCTGGGTATAGCTCAGAGGTCATAATAAAATAGAAAAACAAAATACAGTAAGACTCTAGAAGCAGAAAAAACTGACTTGAAATTGTACTTCAATGCTCTATGGATGCTTTTTATCAGTTGGCATCCATTAGAACAGTGCTGACTTTAGCAAACAGGCTTAAAGGAGAGGTTTTCTCTCCTATATTTGGAGGTCCAGAGCTGGGGTTGGAATCCGGAACAATACAGATATTCAGTGTTGTCAACCCACATTCTTTACATTTTTGCACTTCTCTAGAGTAGATTTTTATTCAAGTTGGTTCCCTTCGTAGCCAAAAAATGTCTGCCTGGAGTATCCGGGACAAAATTATTTCTTGTTCCTAGCCAACAGGAGAGAAGATTGTATTAGTTTCCCAGATTTCTCTTATGGACACAAATTGACTTAAGTCAGTCTCATCTGAGTCACCTGCCAGTAGGGGACATGAAATTACCTTAATTGGTTTAGCCTAGCTATTGGGGGTGGGTTGAATGTTGGAATGTTAAACAAAATATCTCTCATCACTCAACATTTCTGACTCTCAGATTCTCCTCCCATAAAAATCTTTAATCACAGGTTTCTGAGAGAATGACAAGATCAAGTGTACACTGTACCTTTGACAGTATCTAGCAGAATGTAGTTGTTCAATGACTAGAGGACATTATTACTGTCACAGTATCACATGACAGAAGGTGAAAGACTCAAACTCACCAGTAACAGTCACCTTGGTGCCCCGACCTGATTGGTACTCTATGTCAGGTTTTCCCTCTTTGAACTTCACACAGAAGTACATGCCGGCATCTTTAAGAGAGATTTCATTGATGCGAATGGAAAAGTCTTTGTTGCCAGCTTTGGCCATGTTTCCAACTTGGTTTACTCTGGGAAAGAGACCCCTTTGGAAATTATAAATTAATTCACGATTTGGTCCAGTCCCCTTGAACCATAAGACGGGTCCATTTGGAAATGAATCTGGTACGCTGCAACTCAAAGTGAGCGTTTCCCCAGGTGACACAGTCTGTGATATCTCAGCTTGCTGCACGTTGAACATCTCATTTGTGGCTCCTGGAAAGAAACTCAAAATCATCTCCCATTTCCTCTGCTCTGACCTAGGCAGGATTAAGAAAACTGGATCCAGATCAAGGATGGGCCTCAATCATTCATCATTTTAGTGACACGTTGGAGTACCCACACTGAGTTTAGAGTGGCCACTGCAAGTGCAGGCCGCTCTTTCCCCAAGCGCTAACAGAGGGGAGTCGGTTCAGAGGACTAGATGAATCACCTCCCCAATTTCATTCCTCAGCCCCTAAGTAAAAAAGAGGAAGATGGATAGGGAGGGCTGGGTTTGTGAATGGGTACTGTTCATAGAAATAAGTCTTCCTTCTTATCTAAATGCCCCAAATTGCTCAATACACTTGGAGATGGATCCAAGTCTCCTCTGCCCACCCCACACATCCAGAGAACTTGGCACTGGCCTTCATCTCTCCTCTGAAGGGTAATGAGTCACTGATTTTGCAGAGACATTAATGCTGAGAGGTGCAGAGAAAGAGGAAGTAAAGAAATCAGAAACCTAAAAATCAGGTGGGCATATATTCTTGAAGGCAGAGTATGGGTCTTTTACTTACCTCCTCAAGAGGGAAAAGGGGGACAGTTGATTCTACTCAACAAAAAAAGAGAAGAGCTTCAAGGGATTGCATCAATTTTGAGGGTCCACCACTGACCCCTAACTCCCACTACCACCAACCTTACTACCCCACATGATATCAGATCCTGATAATAATCTCTCCTTTCAAGTTTTCAAAGCATCAAATCACAGATGGCCTAAGATGTCGGTTGGGGAGACAAGGGAACTCTTGAAGCCAGGAAAGAATGGCAGGTAAGCTATCTATACCCAGATTTTCCAAGTTGAAATCAATGTGTGAATTTTCCCTGGCCAGTTAGATGCCATGGAATGTGGCTGAACTTGAGGAAAACATTACTGGAGAAGACAAGTTTTCCCAGCAGAACAGAGGATACCCTAATCTCATTTTATTTCATGAAATTAATTCACAGTGCCAAGGAGTAAGAAGCACTGGCTGTCCTCTGAGAACAAAAGGACAACAGAACTTGGAGTGCAATGCTCAGGGCAGATTCTCAGGTTAAGGTCAAGTGCTAGGAGAGTGACTCAACCTCTCTGGGAGGTCTTTTCTAAACAAGTCTCCCAACTCTCAGTTTTCTAACTTTTTGGACATGTTCATAGAGTGTTCATAGAGTGCACACATGTTGTGCATTTTACCTACCCAACATCTTTTCAGCTGGGAATGTCCATTGTCCTATATTCAGTTTCTGGTGGCCATTAAAGAAGGGCATAGCCTGTCGACTCAGCCTGATTCAATATTGGGCATAGGATGCCAGAAGGATCAGAGGGCTGTCTGCAGAATCCCAGCCTACAGGGCAGATTGTGAATGAAGGGGTACAGTATCCAGTGTAGAGTAATGATTTGGTACAAGTCAAAGATTTTTAAAAACTTATCTTAAAAATCAGGAAGATGGAATTTGTCAAAACTGTACTTACCACTCACAGACACATAGGTGCCTGGGCCAGCTATATATGCCATGTCAGGATGCCCTATTGTTAACTTCACACAGTAATACATGCCAGCATCCTTAGGCGACACATCATTGATGCGGATGGAATAGTCTGTTTGGTTGGCCATTGGATTTACCACTTGGGATACTCGGGGGAATCGGCGTCCATTGAAACTATAGATTAATTTTCGTTCTAGCTTAGCGTCCTTGAACCACAAAACAGGCCCTACTGGAGATGGTGCAGGAATGTTGCAGCCCAAGGTTATGACATCTCCAGCCTTGGCTGACACTGAACTCTCAGGCTGGTTCACCTGGAAATCTTCACTTGAAGTTCCTAGAAAGAAACTGTGTGTCATTTCTCATATTCCTTGTTTTGGTGCAAAATGTTCTGAGGGTCTGGTTCTAGATCAAGGTGGGGGTCTGACTGCACTGCACACTCTTAAGCAACATGTACTGGCACCAAAGTATAAAAATCACAAATTTGGTTGCCATGTGGAATGAGGAGAAGAGGACCAGTATAGAGAAAGGAAAATGGAACTTTCTTTCTCCGTCAAGATATAAGGATAGCCTGGAGCATGTGTGTGCGTGTTAGTCACTCAGTCATGTCTGTGGCTTTGTGACTCCATGGACTATAGGCCACCAAGTTCCTCTGTCCATGGGATTCTCCAGGCAAGAACAGTGGAGTGGGTTGCCATGCCCTCCTGCAGGGGATCTTCCCAACCCAAGAACCTGCGTCTCCTGCAATTCCTGATTGCAAACAGATTCTTTACCAGCAGAGCCTTTAGGAAAGCCCCAGACTGGAGCATATTGGGCACTAAATAAACATACAGTCTATGAACCCATGAATGGATTTATATTAAATAAAAAATGTGAGATAAAAGTTGAGTCAGATTTTTCTCTATGTACCTGTCTGCTTAGAAATTTGTATGCAGATAAGAAACAGTTAGAACCAGACATGGAACAATGGACTGGTTCAAAATTGGGAAGGGAGTACGACAAGGCTGTGTATTGTCACTCTGCTTATTTAACATCTATGCAGAGTGCTGTGCTGTGCATAGTCACTCAGTTGGGTCTGACACTTTGCAACCCCATGGACTGCAGGCTACCAGGCTCCTCTGTCCATGGGATTCTCCAGGCAAGAATACTGGAGTGGGTTGCCATACCTTCGAGGATCTTCCCAACCTAGGGATTGAACCCAGGTCTCCCCCACTGCAGGTGGATGGATTCTTTACTGATTGAGCCACCAGGGAAGCCCTCTATGCAGAGTACATCATGCAAAATGCCAGGCTGGATGAATCACAAGCCGAATCAAGATTGCAGGGAGAAACAGCAACAACTTCAGATGTGCAGATGATACCACTCTAATGGCGGAAATTGAAAAGGAACTAAAGAGCCTCTTAACAAGAGTGAAAGTGACTGAACAACAACCAGAATTAGAGATAAGGCCAAAAGCTAAGGACACTGTACTGATAACCAACATGCTATATACCGAGTGCAACTTTCAAACGCAGGCATCTCCCTTTCTTCATGGGGAGGCCCAGGTGCCCAGATATACACTGAGAATTGCATTCTCCATGAAATCTATATTTTCCTTAAGGGGTATAAAATTGGTTATTGCAATGTGAAAACATCTCAGTTATTATAATGTGTCATGTTTATGGATGCTAAACCCAATGCAACAAATTCTTAGTACTCAGTACTGCTCTTGTTACATGTTCTTCAGTATTGCACAAGGAGCACTAACAATGAGTTCATGGAAGACACACAGAATATATGTAAGATAAGTTCTACAAACTATGGGAGATTTTCCCTCTTGAATGATTTCTCAAGCCTAGCATATTTCTTTTCTATCTCTGAATAACAAATTACCACAAACTTAGTGGCTTAAGAAACACCTATTCATCGCTTTTTGGTTTATGTGAATCAGGAATTCAGACACAGCTTAGTTTAGTTGTCATGCACAGAAAGACGATGCCAAGACACAGGGAAAACAGCATCTACAATTTAAAGAATGTTTGAGGCTGCCAGAAGCTGAGAGAGGCCTGGAACAGACTCTCCCTCATAACTTATAGCAGCTTTATTCACAATTGTCAAAACATGAAAACAAGATCTTCAGTTGGTGAATGATAAAGAAATTGTGGTAAATCCAGACAGTGGGATATTATTCAGCACTGAAAAGAAATGAGCAGATAAGCCCTGAAAGGATATGGAGGAACCTTAAGTGTTTATTACTAGTTTAAAGGATGAGCCCATATGCTCTAGGGGCTTCTCAGGTGGCGCTACTGGTAAAGAACCCACCTGCCAGTGCAGGAGACATGAGAGATGTAGGTTCCATCCTTGAGTTGGGAAGATCCCCTGCAGGAGGGCATGGCAACCTACTCCAGTATTCGTGCCTGGAGAATCCCATGGACAGAGGAGCCTGGTGGGCTACAGTCCATGAGGTCGCAGAGAGTTGGACACGACTGAAGGGACTTAGCACGCACATGCTGCAGGATTCTAATTACATGACAGGAGACTATATTACACGTAAAACTTAAGAAACAAGAAGAATATCAGGCTTGACAGGGGTTAGGATGAAAACAGAGAAAAATAGCCAGAGCACAGATAATTTTAGGGTGCGGAAACTACTCTGTATAATACCATAACGTTGAGGGATGCCTATCATAATACATTTACCCAAATCCATGGAATATACAATGCCAAGAGTGAACCATCATGGAAACTCTAGAGTTTGGCTGTTAATAATTTGTCATTGCAGGTTCATCAGTTGTAACAAAATGATCACTCTAGTGGAGGATGCTGAAAACAGAGAGGCAAGGGGCGGAAAGTAGTATTGGAAATCCTTATACCTTGTGATTAGTTTTGCTGTGAACCTAACTGTCTTGAAATATAAAGTCTATTATTTTAAAAGTCATTGCCATACCATGGGTCATCTAGACTTTCTTCTACATCGTTCCGTGTTTTACATTTAGGTCTATGATTCATTTTTTAATACTGCAACATTTTATTTTTTATTACTAGTGCACACTCATGATTCATTTTCAATTAATTTTTGTGGAAATTCACTTTGTTCTTCTCCAATAGTGCGTAGGCTATTCTGGATCTTTTGTTCCATCATATAAACTTCAGAATCAGTCTGTCACTATCCATAAATTAACCTGCTGGATTTTAATTGGGATTGCATTTAATATACAGATCAAGTTGAGGAGAACTGATACCTTGACAATATTTATCTTACTACCTATAAACATGTAATACATATTTATATATAAATAAATATACATATTCAGTTCTTCTTTGCTGTTTTTGATCAATTTTGTAGCTTTCTTCACACAGCTCTTGATACAAATTAGGTTTATACCTAAGTGACAGATTTTATTTTCTTGGGCTCCAAAATCACAGCAGATGGTGACTGCAGCCATGAAATTAAAAGACGCTTGTGACTTGGAAGAAAAGCCATGACAAACCTCAACAGTATATTAAAAATCTGAGATGTTACATTGCCGACAAAGGTCCATCTGGTCAAAGCTATGATTTTTCCAGTAGTCATGTAGGATGTGAGAGTTGGACTATAAAGAAAGCTGAGCGCCAAAGAATTGATGCTTTTGAGCTGTGGTGTTGAAGAAGACTCTTGAGAGTCCCTTGGACTGCAAGGAGATCCAACCAGTCAATCCTAAAGGATATCAGTCCTGAATATTCATTGGAAGGACTGATGCTGAAGCTGAAACTCCAATACTTTGGCCACCTGATGTGAAGAACTGACTCATTGGAAAAGACCCTGATGCTGGGAAAGATTGAAGGCAGGAGAAGAAGGGGACAGAGGATGAGATGGTTGGATGACATCACTGACTCAGTGGACATGAGTTTGAGCAAGCTCTCAGAGTTGGTGATGGACAGGGAAGCCTGGCATGCTGCAGTCCATGGGGTCACAAAGAGTCAGACACAGCTGAGAGACTGAGCTGAACTGATTACCTTTCTTGGAGGTAATTTAAATGGTCACATGTTTGTTTCAGTATGTGCTGTGCTTAGTCGCTCAGTTGTGTCCGACTCTTTGAGACCCCATGGTCTATAGCCCACCAGGCTTCTCTGTCCATGGAATTCTCGAGGCAAGAATACTGCAGTGGGTTGCCATGCCCTCCTCTAGGGGATCTTCCCAACCCAGGGATCAAACCCAGATCTCCCATATTGCAGGCTGTGCCACCAGGGAAGCCCTTGTTTCAGTATGCAAAAATGCAACTGATTTTGTGCGTTGATCTTGTTTCCTGCCATCTTGCTGAACTCAGTTCTGGGAGTTGATCATTTGTGGATTTTTAGTAGATTCTTTGGGATTTTCTATGTAGAAACTCACAGCATCTACAGTTTTATTTCTTCATTTCCAATCTATATCCTTTCCTTCTTCCTCTCTCTCTCTTTCCACTTGTTGAATAAGAGTTGTGAGAATATATCTTTTTGCATTTTTCCTTATCTTGGAAAGAAAATGTTGTCTTCCACCATTGAGTATAGTAATATTGCTGTAGGGTTTTTGTGGATATTATCAAGTTGAGGAAATTCCTCCCTATTTCTAGTTTGAGAGTTTTCATCATTAATAGGTGTTAGATCTGTCAAGTGCCTTTTCTGCATCAATTGACATTATTATGCAATTTATTTCTTCTTTAATTTGATGTGATGGATTATAATGATTGATTTTCTCAGTATTGAAACTAAGATCTGACTTAGTCATAATATGTAACATTATACAATGTTAAATCCTATTTGCCAATATTTTGTTGAGGAATTTTGTATCTAAGTTCATGACATATATTGGGCTATAGTTTTCTTTTTTATGTACTATCTTTATTTACTGTTGCTATCAAAGTAGTAATTTCCTCATAAAATAAGCCACATAAAATGTGGCTTCTTTTTCTAATTTTTTGAAGAGATTGTATAAAATTGGTGTGAATTCTTGTTTAGATGTCTGTTAAAATTCCCCAGTGGGTGTGAGTGCCTCACATACTTTACTCCCTTAAAATCCAAGCCTTCCCACCTCTTCCTCACTCTCAGATAATGGTCTGCTTCCTCTTTCGTCTCATCTAAACCCCTCAAGCTATCTTCTGTGGCAACTGGGACTCAAAGCTTCTACCAACATGGACCAATGTCCTTGGGGGAAAGACTCTCCAAAATTGTTTTTTTTCAGCAAATAGAGGCAGAACCACACAGTTAAGCTAGGGAGACTACAGGGCTCAGCTTCCATCACTGACCTAGAGACCTCTAGTGTGCGCTTCTGACCAATATTCTCTGAACACTCAGACCTCTGCAAAAGTTTAACACTGATTATCTCCTGATGGGGGCATTGTGGATTCTTTTCTTGCTTTTATAATCTCATCTTTTCTAAGATGTTTTTCTTCACTTAGTGGGTAGCATATGTGTGCTGGTGACCAATGAAAAGACAGACCCTGTGTCCCCAGTGGCTGGGGGATGAGAGCTGTCGCATTTGCTCTGTTCAGCCTGCTGATCACGGGGACGAGTCCACCACCTGACCCAAAGGGGTGAAACAGACACAGTCACTGGAAGATTTTGTGTGCTGGATGCCATTCAAGTCTAGATCTCTAAATTCTGCCTGTTTTACGATGGACCAAGGAAATCCCTCCTCAAAGAAATTCTAGGGAAGCAGGTGGGGAGGAAACAGTAACCAAGCGAAGGAGGTCCCACTCACCTGTGAGTTTCAGCAGCAGAGCCAGCAGAAGGGAGGGCAGATGTGAGTAGGATGGGAAATCAAGGACAGGCATCACGGTGGCCCTTGGAGCCTGCTCGGTGTCAGTGTGGTCCTGGAGAGGCCTGGATGTCTGTGCTCTACGGAGAGAGGACAGTTCCTACTTTCATGATGTCAGAGGGACAGGATTGTGATGAGAGAAAAAACTGTGGGACTGGGACACTTTTTCTTTGAAATTATAAACAGGACAGACAAGGTTGCTACAAACAGACAAGTTGCTGCTGGAAGCGTTCAGGGTCTCCAGTGCCAAGGGGTGCGACGCCCAAAGCTTGTGCTCCTTCCTGTGTGTCATCCCATCTGAGAGATTTTCCCTAATCCTGAGCCCTTGCCTATCTAGCATCCTCAGAGATGCCGTCTGGGCCAGAGACGTCTGGAAGCTCGTGATGGGCAGGTGGGTTAAAGCTCCGGCACGAGTGGAATAGCTGGGCCTCCCTGAGCCGCAGAGCTCCAGGAAGGAAGGTAGACTTCTGGCCTCATCCTCTTGGCTATATAGTTGAGCTTTATGAGAGACTCCTCCTCTTCACTCCAGAGGGGTCAAAGGTATAAAACGAGTCCCAGCGCAATGTCTGGTGTGGGCTCCTGGCTTTGCTGTGGATCCCTGCATACAATACAGGAAGTTGCCTCTTTTCTCCTCTTGCAGAGAAATTGTTTATGACAATTTGACGGAAAGAAGTTAAGAGTTTTCAAGATGGTGATTGTTTGTACATTACAGAATGGGGAAGGTAGAGCTCTGAGGAACATTCTCAAAGAGGTGAAAGCAACACACATAGAAACATACCTGGGAAAGTGAGGTCTGCCTCTCTCCTGTCTGTGCTGGGTCTGGGGCTAGCTCTGTAGTAAGGAACTGGAGGGGCAGAAGAAAACACGCTCAGAAATAGAGAGGAACTATCATGTTCACCTCCTTCTCTCTCACCTCTGGAATGGGCTCAACCCCAGCACAAGGGTTGTTTCCTGGGACTCTTGGCCCACTCTCAACTGGCACCCCTTTCTCCAAGCATCCATAGTCAGGCACTGACTGTTTCCTTGTGATCCCTGAGTTTGCCTCAGTGACAGACTGGATGTCAAGGCCAGGAGAGGTGTTAGAAAAGCAGAATGCAGAGCAGGGCCCAAACATCCTCTATGAGATGACAAGACTCCCCCTCCCCTTGTGACGCCACCATTCTATCCCATTGTTCTGGAGTGATGAATTCCACACCTGGAAACCCAACAATGGACCCTGCTGAAAACTGGACAGCCTCTTATCTCTAGCCTCCATCATCCTACGCTTCCTTCCACCTCCAGCCATCTTCACACCTTCTATCGAGCTCTGAAGACTTCAGAGGGAGGGATTTATGGTGGCATAATGGTCAAGAGCACTGGCTTTGGAACCAGATACATTTTAGGTTCAAATCTTGATCCCATTTCTTAGTAACTGAATCATCTTGAGCCCATTATACAGACTTGTATATCCTTTGACCTGGAAATCTTCACTTTGCACCTCGAACATTCAAGGCTGAATTCATGATCTACGCTCAGACATTCCTTTCTCCTGCCCAACCCTGTTCAGTATGTGGCATATAATTTATCCATTTGGTTAAACCAAGAAGAAACCCATGCTCTTCATCCTCACTTATCCACTCATATCTATTCCCCATCAGACCCTGTTAGTTTTACCTCCTAAACATGTTTTAAATCTAGTTCTCTGTATCCACCGTCATCTTCTACATAAAGGAAAATGATTACCTCCTAATCAGGCTACTCCCATTTCTCCTGCCCTGCCCTACAATCTTTTCCTCTTTCTTTATCCATATCTTTCAAAACACAGATCTGATTATACACCTCTTTGGCATAAACGCTTTTGTGGACTCTCACTGCTCTCAGGATAGTAAGGCCATTTGGTACGTAGTAGTATATATAAATAATTCGATTCATCCATGACTGGTGTGGCCCCTAGAAGACAAGGGGTTTCCCTGCCTTTTTTGGTATCCAGCACAACCTCTTTGTCTCAGGTTGATTTCCTTGGGAAACAGACTCTGAGGTGAAGATGAGCATATCATTTTCTCAAGAGGTACTTTTAGAATCAACTTCTGTGGAAGGGAGGGAGAGGAAGCAGGGCTGGATAGCCCTATAGAAGAAGCTGAGTTGCAACAAAATCCTAATGAAGATATCAGCGGGGCTGCCATGGAGCTCTGGTGCTAGGATGTTCCTTCAGGGTTGTCCTGAGCTTAGGGGAGAGTGTTGGGCTTTCATATCACCCTGTTGATGAGTCAATGAATGTGGCATGTGACCAGGCAAGACTTTGGGCAAGCTGGGTCTCCTCAGTTGATGCAGTCATAAGGAGGATGACAGGCAGGTGTTATCTCTGCAACCTGTTACATAAGAGCATCCTCCATGCCCTTGGGAACATCTTCCACCCCGGGAGTCTTTGGACTCAGGACATGTATTAACTTCCCCACAATTAGATCCTCAAAGCCACTTCACATCACCTGGGAAACTCAAAGTTCTCTGACCCTACTTGGCCTGATCTTATTGTTGTTCATTCACTAAATTGTGTCTGACTCTTTGCAGCTCCATGGACTGCAGCACGCCAGGCTTCCCTGTCCTTCACTATCTCCCTGAGTTTGCTCAAACTCATGTCCATTGAGTCATTGATGCCATCCAACCATCTCATCCTTTGTTGCCCCCTTCTCCTCTTGCCCTCAATCTTTCCCAGCATTGGGGTCTTTTCCAATGAGTCGGCTCTTCGCATCAGGTGGCCTGATCTGGACTTTACTAATCGGAAAAGTTCAGCATGAATATCATAAGGGCCTGAGATGCAGCTTTTTCTGGGATCTCTGAGTACCTGGGTTAGCAATGAACTCTGGCAGAGGACAGAGGAAGCAAGAAAAGGGAACCTCAGACCTATAAGATGAGATAAAACGTGGGTATACTAACACAGAAACCTCCTCACCACGTATTTCCTTACACTGTTTCCCAAGGAGGTACAAGAGGACAAAATATTATATTTTGTTTAATAGGCTTTTCAAAAACAGTTTTAGATTTATAGAAAAATTTAGATGATAAAACAAAGATTTCCCATATACCCCTACACACAATTTCTTATTATTAGCATCTTATATTAGTGTGGTACATTTGTTGCAATTAATTATATTGGTACATTATTAGTAACTGAAGTCTACATTTGGTTTTTGTCTTAGCTCTGGCATTATAACAAAACTGTTGAAAGGAGAATACATTTTTCCCCCCTTAAAAGCAGGAAGGAGGATCCTGTGTACTCAAGAGGTAAAAGAGAACCTCAAAGTGTGGGGAGTTGGTGAACACAGGAACACACAAGACAGAATAACTCCTCAGTACAGGGATGCTGGTGTGTGGTTCATGGTCAAGTTCAAGGTGATAGACAAGAGAGAACCTGACCTGTGTTGTGCTGACTTTGTTCACATATTTGTGTGTCAGTCCCCAGAGCTACTTCCCATGATCCAGGGATCATGGATAGAGACCATGTATAGAGACCCAGCTCTGGGGACCTCAAGGGCATATGGGCAGGGAGTTCTCCATGGATGGGAGGCATCTGGAAAGTCGTGGAAGATTCCAACTGAGACGTCCTAGGCTGGGCCTCTCAGGGAGGGAAGGAGACAGCAGAGGCTGAGGGTGGCACCTAGCAGGGAGGAAGGAAGGAGCTGTGGGAAACGTGTTTATATTTAATTACCTGCTCATCAGTCAGGAATTGTTCTCTGCATGCCTGCTATGTGCCCAGGTGGGCTCTTCCTGGGATGCCTGTCCTGGCAGCCTTTGAGATAGGACTCTGCCCCCTTAGCCTTCTTCCCAGGCCCTGATTCCTCTTCCCTAGTCTTTCCACTCTGATTTCTCAACTTTATTCTAAATGGAAATTCCTTTATGACCTAGAAATTGTCTCTAGAAATACCACCCATTCAGCTGCCCCTCATTCAGCACCCTCAGCCCACAGATCAGCTAGGAGATACCCTTTGAAAACCCTTGATCGAGCCCCCCTTTTCAAAACAGAAGACCACATACTTCCTGGGAATTGGAACTTCTTAGAAGGACCCTCCTAAGGGTACGGAGGGATGTGTGTCCCCTTCTCCTAACTACACGTGGGCCCTGACCCGGTCTGAACTGTGGATTGACCCTCCTTGTTGAACTTGCTTCCTTTGGGACAAATCTTGTCCTGCTCACCCACCCCCACACTTACAGTCATGCCCAAAGCTTCCTGTGGACAAAGATGAGGGCAACACTACCCACCAGCAGCACCATGGGGCCTAGGAGGAGAACTGCAAAGACCGTGTGCCCCCAAATCCAAAATATTTACCATCTGACCCCTTCAGAAAATATTTGCCAAATCCTGGCATAGGATTTCACAAGTCAAGTTAAAAGATCAAGCTTTAGCATAAAGATGATGGGCTACTGGATGATTTAAACGGAACTGACACAGATTTCTTCTCTGGTGGCTCATCGGTAAAGAAGCTGTCGGCAGTGCAAGAGATGCTGGAGACTCGGATTCAATCTCTGGGTCAGGAAGATCCCTTGCAGGAGGGCATGGCAACCCACTCCAGTATTCTTGCCTAGAGAATCCCATGGACAGAAGAGCCTGGTGGGCTATCGTCCATAGGGTCACAAATAGTCAGACAACTGAAGCAGCTAAGCATGCACGCATGACTCAGATTTACAAATTTAAAACAGTCACTCTGACTACAAACTAAGGGATGGAATAAGGAGGGGAAGAACAGAGAGAGAGTCCAGTTGGGAGGCTGCATCAGTGATTTACAAATTTAAATTTAAAAGGTAAAAAACGGAAGGTAGCCTGGACTGGAAATGGCAAAGTTAAATAAGTGCCAGTTTTAATTCCCAAAGCAGTTTTTGTTCTTGTATTGTCTGCAAGTACCACTAGATGGTGCCACCTCAAAGAGGGAAAAAAAATCCCACTTTTATCTTCATCAATATCCAAGTTTTTACTAAACTGGTCTAACCTTAGAGGGGCTCCCCTGGTGGCTCAAACGGTAAAGAATCTGCCTGCAATACAGAAGACCCTAGTTTGACCCCTGGAAGAGGAAATGGCAATTCATTCCAGTATTCTTGCCTGGAGAATCCCATGGACAGAAGAGCCTGGTGGGCTAGGGGCTATAGTCCATGGAGTTGCAAAGAGTGTGACATGACCGAACGACTAACACTTAACTTTATAGGAACTTAAGAGCTGTAATTCAAGTATTTCAGTGGTTTAACCCTTGGAGTAAGTTTTAAGAAGAATCTGCATCATACTAAGTTAAGTTTATGTCTATATTATGTGGGTTTTGCAGAGCAATAAGCAAGGATTTTATGAGAAACTAAAAGATGAACTAAATTCACCTTCAATTCTGCATATTCACTGACCAGTGAATTCACTGACTTCTTCAGACAACCAAGGAGACAGTCAAGCATGTGGGCAAAGGTTTCCACCAAAAATGTCTACCACAGTATGATTTATATACCTGAAAGCAATCTTAGTGGCCAATACCAGAAAACTCATCCATCAGGGCATGTCTACACTTGAGGGAATGAACGAATGATTCATGAGCCTCTGCCCTTCTCCAGGCACTGTGTTGAGTATTGAAGACAGTGCTGAACACAATGGATCAGGTCCTCACTGTCCTAGAATGGACTTGTTAAAGGTGTGTTATTTTCAGAGACTATTTCACGAGCTGGGAAATAATTTGTTATATCATAACTGGAAGCAAAACAAGATTTTAAAAATGTATATGCAGCATGCTGCAAGCTTTTTTAATGTACATTATGGTAGAGTATGAAATGTTTCAGTCTGCAAATTCATGTATATAAAAAAAAGTGCACACTTCTTTATTTTTCATAATTCAACTTAATTTTACCTCTGAATCCCAGTCCTGCAAAGGTGTTAAGAAATTCAGCCCTGGTTGGGCTCAGCCCATCCTCCACCTATCCTCCAGGGTTTAGCCAAGGTTCTCACTGAGAACCCCAGGGTCTTTGCCCATGTGTGCACGGCAGGATCCCAAAGAAGTGCCCACTGCCAGGGCCCTGTGGTTCTGCCAGGTCAGCTGCTCCAGTCTCTGTGACTGGAAAAGGTTACAGGTCTAGGTGACGCTTGAGCCAAAACTCCCTGAAGCAGCCTCCGACACTGTAGGGCCTGCCACTCCAGGTGTGGTCTGAACCAGCAGCCTGTGTATCACTTGGATACCGCTGGATCAGAATCTGCATTTCAACCACATCCCTAGGTGATTTGGGTGCATATTACATTTTTGGAAACACCACCCTAAGACGCCTTACCATACCTACCTGGTACAGTCCAGGTGGAGCTCAGGTTGGGGTTGCTCTGGGAACCCTGGGCCAATCATCACTAGTCTGAAGAAGCCCCTCTTTCCTTCCATCCTTGAGCACTGATGTGAAAAAAAAGACAACCAAGAAAGGGTCTTGTAGGCAATTTTAGCCAGCCACCCTACCCCTGCCACAGGGCCCTTCCCCAGTTACAGAAGATCAGGGCCCTATGCCTGCTTTAATGAATGAAAAGCAAGAGAAAAAACTCATTGAGGAGGGTGTAAATTCTAGTCACAAATATATCTTGTTTTTCACAAGATCAAGACTGAAAAGAAAATATCATAAAGAAGGTAGCAGTACTGTCATTAGGACTTCCCTAGGGGCTCAGTTAGTAAAGAATCCACCTGCAATGCAGGAGACTCAGGTTCGATCCCTGGGCCAAGAAGATTCCCCTGGAGAAGGAAATGGCAAACCACTCCAGTATTCCCACCCGGAAAATCCCATGGACAGAGGAGCCTGGTGGGTTACAGTCCATGGAGTCTCAAGAGTCAGACACAACTGAGCGACTAAACCACCATCACCAGGACTGTCATTTATTTTATCTCTTCTTTAAACTTTTCTGTGTTGTTTTTCTACAGTGAATATAATTCAATTTACAAACAGGAAAAAATTAAACATCCCTTAATGGAATATACTCTTGTGGACAAGACACAGAGATGCAAAGAGAACCCAGAAAGAAGATGAAAAATTGCATGACTCAAATAGAACTGAAAAACAATGTTTTATTAATAGAC